CCAAAGAGGATGATAAGGCACTTTCGAAATTTCTACAGTCGGCCGAAGATTACGTTTCCGCCGAGGTCTTCCATCGTGGTAGCAGACGACTCTCGAGATCGTTCAAGCGAGAAGAGCGGGGTGAGGAGGATGTTCTGTCCAGTGTTCTCCGCTCGACCGGCGATTACGTCTCGAGCGAGGTGTTCCATCGCGGAAGCAGAAGATTGTCAAGGTCGTCCAGGAGGGAATCCGTTTCCCTCGGCAGTCCCGCTCTGTGGGGCGGTTTCAAGAGCATGCACTTCAGCCTGCCTTGGTTCTCGTTCAAGGTCACTGAGAAGAGCACGGAGCGCGGCGGAGAATGCGAGGAGAAGATCGATCCCGAAATCGAGCGTGACAATCGAAGATTATCATTTGTACCGACGATTCTCTATCAGGGTATCACGAACCGGATCGGGATCGATTTCACGAGGCTGATGGTTTACGCGTTCGTACCTTGTACTTCGATTATCCTTCTGTACATGTATAATCATCGTTATCTAACGAATATCTGATGACGTTTACGACATGTTTCGATGCTAATATAAGTAAGCAGACTCAGTTTTGAATTCATTTAGGAATTCATTTCGCGACAGTTTGTTAATTCAAATCGATACAGTCTAACCCGTGATTGTATTTTGATCTAAATAGATATATCGCTTGTCCCAAAATGATTCTAACTGACCTCAGATTATTGTTATATATATATACCTACATTTGTTCGAGAAACTTTTACAGATATCATCGTGGACCTCTTTCACACCCGTATAAAAATGTCTCGTAAATAATGTACCCCTGAGTTTCCGTATAATCGTACGTTTTGTTTTTTGTTACTAGAATAAGTGTTACCGGAGTGAATCCACTGTAGAATAATCGGAATGCAAAGGCAGCTAATGTGACCAATTCAATACACAAACGAAAATGTGATTAACTTTTGCCTTTAGCGATTCCTCAATTGTGTGAAATATGTTAATATAATTAATTAAATGTTGAAATGAGTTATTCGTACTTGGATTTCTTTATATGTATCGATATACCTATCAGCCGTTCTTCTTACATGACAAAAAGAAGTTTGAAATCTTTCGTTTTGTTATGTATACGCACTGTAAATATCGTATTATTTATTTTTTATCGCTATCCTAATTATTTAATATTTATTACTGATTTTTATGTTTATTACCTTTCTTTCTGTGTGTGATCCATATTATAAAACCCTATATACAATTAAATTATATATTACTATATCATTATATTATACCTAAGTGCCACTTCGATATAGTATACTTTAAATACAAGGCATCTAGTTTCGTTTATTTAATAAGGTAAGTACATATTCGGTATTGTATTTTTCCAAAGGTATTTTTATAAAAATGGTCATAATTCTTGAATATCTACAATTGTCAACAGGTCAACAGGTTGAATTTACTGAATACAGCCATTTATTTCTGAAAGTAATGTCGAAAAAGAGATTGTTTTATTATTTAAAATAATAATATTTTTTAAAAGACTACTGCACGACATTAGCATACAGATAACATTTTCTAGAAAGTAAAATTATTCCCGATATCTTTTAGATTTACGAATCTTTAGAAATTTGCTCTCTTTTTCTCTCTATTTTTTACAAGTTACAAATTACTACAATTTATAAAGTAGCTTCCGACTTGTATGTGTGTTACATTTCGTTTTGCTGTAAACAATAATTTCTTGTTGCTCAGATAAAAATTCTGAAATAAAAATTCTCGTCTAAAAATCTCTTCTAAACGTCTTAAACATTTAAATAATATCCTAAAAGTTTAAATAATATCCGAAAAGTCGCGAATTTTGCAAATATTTGGAGAACTAAGAAACTTTTGTCATCCAGAGACGAAATTCCTTACGTGCTTGTCAAATATATTTTTACAATCTTTCAATCTTTCTCACGATTTAGACGACTCCAGCTGCGACACCGGAGCTCGCATGCAGGCCAGAGCAAGAGGGAAAATCTGATTCACGTCCCGTATCAAAGGCAGAAGGGGAAAAGAGAGACAACGAGGTCGACGAGATCAAGGCGGAAGAAAGACCAAGGGTCAAGGAGGAGGATCATCGTCCCGAATCTTGCGAGGCAAGATCAACGCAGGACGAGCAAATAGCGACCGAGGAGGATTCGAGCGTCTCCACGACAGATCCGGCGGCGGCAAAAGCCAATAACGAGAAGATCAAGCAACTGGTATCTACGGAGATCAGCCTCGAGCAACAATTGGAGACGGTGCAACGACAGTTGCTCGCTCTGAAGCAGCTACCGAGCGAGATCGAGAATCACTTGAGGATCGTGTCCGACCAACTGCACAAGATCATGGAACTTAGCGGCGTGCAGCGGTTCGTTGGCAACGGAAACGGTGGCCGCCGCGGGTCGTCAGGTGACCGAGATTCGTAATCGTGTTCAAAATAGCCCGAGCGGACCTTGACGATTATTCTCTAGGCATATTTTCGAGTCCCGTCGCTATGCGACTTCGGTTCTGAGTGGATGCCAGTTTTCGCGTCTGTATTAAATTAAACAATGAGATTCGCGCATTCTACTAAATTAAAATTAAACAAATATATTTTCTCAAACGAAAGTTTTCTCTCGGTACTTCACACATCTTCCTTTCAGGAAAATTTTCAAGTTATTTCATATTCCGATTAATTTTAATGTATAAAAATATAGTCCAGCTTAGAATCATTAAAATTTTTGCTTTTTAATAACGCGCTTTAATTTTGACACGTTATTCAGAAGAGAACATCGCGCCACGGCGGGAGGACGAGGAGGAGCTGAAGGAACAGGAGGATACTGACGAGGAGGACGAGGAATTTACGGAGACTTACGATTACATCGAGGAGATTGCGTGTTTGGAACGAAAGACGTCATCAAGGTCAACGCCGCAAGTGATCGAGCCTAGTGATGACGAAGGGGAAATGGAGGAAGAGGAAGCGGAGACGAAAGAACTGGACGGTACGATTTCCGTGAAGAGCGTGGACGAGGAAGGAAATCGAGTGAAGAAATTCATCGTCTCTTATGAAACTAAGCTTCTGAAATCGCCCAGTCCGGCACCATCGCACGGTAATTATTTCATACTTATGTATTGGCTATGTGGAATTTTGCGAAAACACTGTAACTGAACGACGCAATGTAACTCTATCGCCAAATTCCGCGATGTTAAAATATTTGACGTATTACGCTTGAGTTAGATATGAGACAATGTTGTAAGATACAATGCTACATTATAGGAAGTTTCGAACCAGATCCTAAACTGTCGCCAAAAGACCAAGTTATACAGGAACTGCAGGTACCCCGATAAACAGAATGATTCGTGTTCTCCACCTAGGTTGAAATGACAATTGTACTGTTCTCCCTTTTTATCACTCGTGCTTAAACATCGCAGACTTGTCAAATGTTAATGAAAGCCCGTCCCGTTTCGAGACAAGTTAATTACGTGAATGCACGATGAATCGAATTATATGCATTTTTCACGATTGATATCCCTATTTTGTGAACTTATCGTTTCTACATTACTTCTTTGCTATACATCGATTTCTACATTGATATCGAAAGAGTTTATATGTGAGTCCGAATTTCGTAAGTTTCGTTTTCTTTTTCACGCGACTGATGCATGGTGAACGTATCCGAATCCGAACGAAACGATTAACTTGTCGCATTTCGACTTTCAGCAAAGGGTGCACAAGAAAGGCAGAAAATACTCGCAGGAGCTGTGGCCCCAGGCTAAGCAACTCGAACTTACGCAAGGCCGCAGATGGAGATGCCCGAATGACTTCTTCAACGACGAGATTATAGCGGAAGTGTTGTCCTCCCAAGCGGAGGTCATACGCGGTAGAGCGATGGGGTAAGAGTAGTTTTACGACTCTGATAAAGATTTTCCGAGATCAATTAAAGTTGTACCACAAGACGGAAGCAACTCCGAGAGGTATTCACGATTGTTCCGATCCCAATGAAAGGTTTTAAATCGATCGATTGTACAGAGTGAACTTCAAGAAGTATGAGAAGACGAATTTACCAAACTATGATTACCTGATGAAATCAAGTGTTTATAAGATGATTCATAGAATGGAGCGAGAACCGAAAAGGGGCATCCCCGCCAGACCCGCTAAAGTCAATGCGGCGGAAGATATAATCGAAAGAGTTGTAAGCCTCTCTTTGTCATATTTCACGGCTGTCGATATAAATCGCTTAGACTGAATGGAGGTGATGATAATTAATTGTGAAATCGTGACAACCGATATGTTTCTTAAGCGATCGTAATTCGTAAATGTGTTTACGGGAATATTTTAATGAATTCGCTGGTAGCAAATACTGCCAATTAATCATTGTCATCCCAATATAATTGTGATAGATCCCATAAATATTAAACCTTATCTGATTTCAAATTAACTAAAATTAAACGGATAATACCATCTCTCTGAGTAAATAACTCCAAATAAAATGCAAAATAACTCAATCGAATTAAACTTCTGTAGGTAACTTAACGGGATTACTATCGTTTCGATATGAACCGAGGGAGAAAAAGGAAAATCTAATTTCTTAATATATTTTCAGAAATCACCGGCGTTGAGTGTTGCAGACGACAGGAGCGCCCGAAGCGTCAGCCACTAATGCAGCGATCATATTAGACGATCAGAATGTAATATCATACTTTGTACGCGAAAATTGTGTGTTTCAAGGACGTGTTAAATCTATATATCTGAAAAATTGGAAAGGAGACCGCTAGAAATGACTAGAAATGTAATTATCTCGCCTGTTGATCGCATCTGAAGAATGTTATCGTACATCATCGAGATACAATGTGGTTGTAATAATTCTAAGCACGTGTGCGTGTGTGTGTGTGCGCGTATGTTCGTATTTAAATCGCCTCGAGAAAGATTTTCCCCGCCGGCACACACCAGAGAGGTCAAACCTTTTTCTGTAAATTTACACGCGCGTTCGAATCAATTAATTCAGTAAATATGTAAATGCGTCAAATTTTTCAAGTACGGTGAATGTTTAATTAATTTGCGCAAACGCAGCTACCTTGTTACTGTACACTTTTCTATAATTGTAAACTGCAAAATCAAGGAACCTTACATCCTGCCGGAATAATCAAGCATTACGCCCTCCACAACGTATGGCATTAATTTTTTTACCAACAATACGTATTCCTACATATAACACCGTTATATGCATATGTATGTATATGAATCGCTACATGTTCAGTAATCAGGTGTGACTAACAGGTGCGCAGTGGTGTCTGGTAATTAATTAATTTTCAAGGAAAGTGATTTAGAAAGCGAAATACGTGAAAGTGGCGTGCGTCCATTTCACTTTATATTGACACTTGCGTCCGCGTCCACTCGCTAATAAGGACATTAAGTTATTAGTGGAAGCTGAGGGATCCATTTGCCTACGCCTGCTTGTTATGCGCGTACCGGGAACCGATAATATCGCCGTTACTTTCCGCTGGTTTCTCGAAGCGGTCGCCCTGTGCACCGCTACGCCCCACGTGGTACCCGTCCTTCCCACGTGGGGTACAGCGTGTACGCGCGGGACCATCATTTCGCTCAACGCGGATCAACCGCGGCGATCGCCGGATCTTCGTAGCACACGATGATCGAAGTCGACCCAGAAAGGCAAGTTTCCGAGTAAATGACCACGATTGTCCGCTCGCTCGGAAATCCCGCGCGGCCGGTCCCGCGGATGAGTCGCGGAGCACACTTTCTCCTTTCCGGGGTTTCCGAGGTCCCTGTTATCCGCGTCTCGCGTATGCGTACACGACCAGCTGACATGAGTCACGTCTGCCTTCTTGGCCGATGAACCTCTTTTCAGTTTTCTCCTTCCCTTCTTCTCTCTCTCTCTTTCTGTTTCTCTCTCTCTCCTCTCCTCTCCTTTCTGACTCTCTGTCCTCCTCTCGCTCTTGCTTGTTTAGGGTCCTCGATCGTGACGTCGGCCCCGAGCAATTTATGTAAAGCATTCTAGGCATGATTCACGAACTAGTTCGCGCCCTCGTGACCGCCACCGGCGCAGAATGCAGTTGCCGTTGAGTGCGGGTGCGTCCATCAAGGTGTCCCGTCTGCGATTTTTCGAACTCGCGCGTTTAACGTTGATACGTTACATATCGATTTTTAAGAAGATGCGTTTTATTTCAGCTGTTGTATTTAAACGTAATAAGTACTGCTTGCTTTCTCGTGTCTATTACATTATATATTATATCTAAGATAAAAGAAAATGGTAAATTAAAGTGAAAAATACCAACCATAATGTCAGAGATACTTAAGAATTTTAGCAAAGTTGGAACCTAACATTTTAATAGAATTTGACGCTAATAACAATTTTTTATTATTGGAAGAGAAACTGCACTGATATATAAAACAACGTCGATTGAACTGACTTTTAGTTCTTCCATGTATAGATTTTACACTATTAATAATTTTATTTTATATATAATGTTGTTACGTTATCAATTCTGACTTTTACGAAGATGCTAAAAAACGAAGTTACTTTGCTTAAGCATAACTGGAAAATTGGAATGGTCACTGTCAGACCAAAGACATCCTAGAAATGAATATTTATTTGAGTTTTAATGAGAATGTGTACTCAAAGCAGTTAAATATTTTTGGCGAAAAGCTCGCAATATAATTTTCCTGCGTGCCTCATGTGAAGGAATTCTCATATAATCGTTTTATACGGAGAAATAAAGGGGACAGGACATTTCTCCAGCATAATTCATGCGCGTTTTCGCTGCCACGGCGCGCAATTTCGATAAATTCACATCTGATTGCTGAGAGACTTAATGACATGGGAAGTATGTGACGGCGCGCTAGGATTTATTTAACGAGTTTTCGTTCGTGACCTCCTACGCGACCTATCGATGACGATGACTTAGGTCCATCCCGTTCTTCTCATACATCGGAAGAACATTTTCGAGATTCAGATAAAGGAGATTCCGATATGCTCATGCGTTTAAAAAAATTACATTCCTTCTTACACGTTAATATGCATTTTAGTACATATATCTACGCTAAAATTTATATATAAAAATCATCTTTTCTTAAAAAACAAAAGAACAAGTTAAAAAGAAAATGGTAACGACGAGAAGATGATTGAAAAAAAAATAAAAACTTTCTCTTTTCTTTATACCTTATCTAAACAGCTTCTAAAGTAACTTAAAATTAAAATTTTTAATTCACAATTATTTATACGTTAAATCTCTGTGAGTAAAGTAAGATAAAATTCTTTGTGCGATAGACAAAAATATTGAAAAATTCTTCTTTCAACAGTTATTAACCGTTTGTCAAAATTCGATGCCCCGTCATTTCTCTTGCTTGAAAATAATTTCGACTACGTCGAACAAAGCCAGACAGAGTGGCGTAATTAGCAGCGGAGAAGAACGGAAGAGACGCTAAACGCGTGCGCGCTCTTCTTGTCACGGTCATCGAGATGGTCAACTCGACATTCCCGATCTTGTCTCCTCCTTTTCCTTCGATCTGGTCCTCCTCTTTCCGTCCTGGCATTATATCTTATTACCTGCACTTTCTTGCCCTTGACTCCCACCGCCGCGGTATAAGGAGCACCTTGCATGATGCACCGGATGCATCGACATCCGTGGACACACTCGGCCGTTTAAGAGGATCGTACCGGGAATTTTGTAACGAGTAATAATAAATGACAATGTACTATTTCAATATAATTAATTGAGAGAACGCTCGGTTTTCTTCTCCGCCCACTACCTCGGTTCTTTATTTAGGACGTCGCTCGATCGCATGCCGTCGCAGACTATTATTCCGCGACCTTATTTCAGAATCTGATTGTCTTCGCTTCGTAACTTTGCGACGAAGGCGGTCGTCGCGCGAAGAATTCGCATAGGTCGAATATTAAGAAAGATTCCAGGGAAAATAGTTGGCACCGTAAGGAGGAATGATTGACTTCTGTTTCGTTCCCCGTTCTCAAGGCATTGCGTTTATTTTACCCGAATGATTTTATCTCAATTCAAATATACCGTTTTCTTCCGAGAGATTCGAATTAAAAAATGAAACTGTCCCAGGAAAATCCAGGCGCTGGTTTCGAAATTGATCGAAACTCAATGTACACTTTTGACGAAATTCAGCTATTCATTTTCGCGGTACTGTCCGAGGAGGATTCCTGCCAGAATACAATAAATTTGTCTCTTTTCCTCTCTCTATCCCCGCCATCCAGCTGCCTTCTACCCGGCCGCGCATTTCCCTCCTTCCTCCCGCTATCTCCCTCCTGCTGTTCCTTCCCTTTCCTTCCGCGCTCTCGCACTCCTCCTCTTCGTTCCGAATCGCGTGGCGAGGAGGCCCCGCTGCCCGACTGACCGTCCTCGGCGCCTCTTATACCTTTACTCCGGTTTGCGCGTTCTTCAGGGAACGTACGTGCCCGTTCCACGTTCCACTCGAGAGAGCGCGATACACATACCCCCCTTTTATAGAGTACGTATACACAAACGGCCCAACAAACGGACGTTGCCGACCCCGATTGTCAGTGGTGCATCGCGATACCTCCAAGGTAGCTGGAGCCGAGCTAAGGGCTCTCGTTCGCCAGCAGCCGCCGCAGTTTTCTCGAGATCGTTCGCCGTTCGTTCGCACGACCGTTTACTTCGACATACGATCGGCAGTTCGGGCAAGACAGTGATATGGCACAACTGATCAGTGTCAAGCTGTCTAGGTTCGACGGATCCCCCTGGGGCTTCCGTCTGCAAGGCGGCAAGGATTTCGGCACGCCGCTCGTCGTGCAGAAGGTGAGTCAATCTGGATCGTCTATTTTAGACCCTTTACTTTACGTCGGGATCATACGTCACCTACGATATTTATTTCCAAGAATTTTATCAACTGGTACGATAGGACTGGTGTAATAGCAGCGATAACGTAGGGCTCTCTCACGAGTCTCTTTCGTAATACATATATTTCTCCCGTTGTATATTAACGTGGCGCTATTTGTGAGACATTTCGAATTGCTCGTTTATTATATCACTGTATGAAATATTGTATTATATAAAATGTAGATTTTAACAAATAATCTGTGTATTGTGATAGGTGTAGCTCAAATACGTTAAATAACACTGTGCGCAAAAATGTACACAACATTGCGATAGAGGGATTGAAAAGATACACTTTTCCGCAAATCTCTGCTGACGAATACGTTTTCCGTTTTATTCGCGGCATTGCTTACGTCTTTATTTCTTTTTTATCGCGCGTTTACTACATATAGGGTTTTTTGAATGTCGTTGAATCGTCATGAATATCTCGAAAGAAATATCGCGAGTTTAATTTTTTGGGGAGGGATTTTGAAGGAGCGTTTTCAAGAAGCCACTCGAGCTGGATCTCAAGTTGACTGAGGCAGAAGCAGTAGTACAAATATTTCTTGCAGCAGTTTATATATAGCGATGTTTTATATGGCTATTTTCATCGGCTCTTCCTTGTCGTTCGTCCGACGTTTCTCGATAGTCGAACATTTCGGCGGTAGAGAGGATCGGCCTCGATATCACGAAGCTGCCTACGATTGTAAAATTAAGAGAAACCATATGCTTGTACGCGCTCGCTTCTAAACGACGTTCCCTCTCGCTTGCATCTTTCCTTCGCTCGTCGCTCGCGAGCTATCAATTGCCACGACTCGGGCGGAATAGGATTTTCATTGAACGCAAAGATCGATCAACGTTCCCGCCTGACAATTGGACGCATCGCGAGTCATCGCAGCGTTTCCACCATAGCTTAATCGTCGCATACGCGACGAGTAAACATCTCTTGAGACGTCAACATATTTTCCAGTGGTCAAATGTCACTTATTAGATTGTTTATTATAATTCAAACAAATTTATTGTATTATATACGTAATCTTCGGATTCGATCATGACGCAACTGTGCGATACCTTCCGTCGTATCTGCTTGGTTAGCAGTTTTTGTTACATCCTAACTTTATGACGTAAACTCGTTCCGCGGCGTGTGAATGAACATTTACGAATCTCCGGTACGCGGAAGCGGATAACGATAATGAACTCCGAGAGCATGAGCGAGACGAAAGTGAAACGCAAACGGGATCCCTCGCGACTCGGAAATGAAATCTGTATCAAAGGCCGAAGTTGACACTCGACAGGCAGATAGCACGTGTCGTAATGCGAGTCCCTCGTGCTCACTGTACGGTCTAAAGAAAATCAATCACCACGGAAATTGGGATATCGAGATCGTTCGTTAGCCTCCCCGTTTCACGCGACGAGGCACGTCTCAAGTAATTCCTAGGGGATGCGATTAAAAATCAGAATATTCCTTCAAGTTTTATCCGGCTCGAAATAAACTTTAGAAAATCGTTGCAAATCGTAACAGTTGATTTAATCGTTGCCACACGCCCGAGTCGAAATTTTGATACCATTTTGATACTTTTAAGGATAAATTGCATCTACTTAGCTAATCTATACACCTTTCATAGACCAGCAATAACCTACTTTGATGACATTATATTCTTTTACTCCACCCTTGAATCTTTAATTCTAAACATTTAATTTAACTCCTACTTAAAAGGACCTACTTTAATGTTAAATTGGCAAAAGTAGGAATTTCCGACACTACCAGTTTTAAAGTAGGAGTAAATTTTGTACTTGCAGTTCAACCTCTTTAACTGTCTTTGGTCCTACTATTTAATAGAATTTCAACATAGGGCCAAAATTTCGACTCGGGCGGATTATCGTTATTCTCCTCTAACCGTTTTAAACCCGGTTTCACCAACGTCGCTTAACTTTAAGCTTAGTTTAATTCGTTCTTTGTCTCTTTCCAACTGTCACTTTAGAAAGAGACAAACATGAATTAAACTAAGATTAAAGTTAAGCGACGTGTGGTGAAACCGGGCCTTAGGTTCGGCTGCA